GAGATGCCTGCTTCAGGTCTACTCAGTTGCAGCGCCGGCAATATGTTGTCCAAATGCTTTCCTTTAGACTTCTTTGTTGTGGATTTTGATAGCACTCTGGGCTTTCTAGGCGAGGGACCTGTCTTTTCTACCATCGATCCGCCATGTGCCGCCATCCTATTCCTTCTGATTTTGGCACTGTCTTCATGCTCTCATTGGATTTCCCCTTTGGATTTTTGCGGCATCTTCACAGCTCTCTCAATTGCACTCTTAGTCCTCCTGCTTCTCGTTCGCATGCCTTCCTCTTCTCTCTCGTTGTCTTTCTGGGTGCTGGTTGTGGGGCGGGAGGCCGACCTACCCTGGCACAGATTAGAAGGTTGCGAGATCGATATTGGCTGCAGTTCGAGGCGTGGTTGAGAAATGAACATATTGATTTTGCTGGTTTGTCGAATGAATATGCTATTTACATTGATGATATCAGTGCCATTTTTCATTTTCTCTAAATACGGCAAAGCACTTTACTTGGCAGGGAAACCGTATAATCAATTTGCTAAGACCATTAACACATTGACCGCAAAGAAGCTTGCGTTGAGACGCTTAATGCAAGGGGCGTGGCATGTTGCCTTCTCGTGGTTGCATGAGCCCGGGCCTCACCATGCAGCCATGCCATGGCAAGTTTTGCTTGCCATGATTGTGGTAAGTTTGATTTGGGGCGCAAGCGCCCTAGCCTTGGCTGGGGCGCGCTTTGTAGACCTGGCGAGATCCTTTCTACTCGAAGGTCTAACCTCTTGCTTCCACGAGATGTTGATAATACAATTGTTTTTGGATTGCTCTCTATCCCGGAGCCTAAAATGAGAAGAATTGGTGCTAAACACCAAGTAGCGAAGTTGGATGCGCCGGATCTTTTGGAAATTGTCGATTTAAAGGCTTACGCCTAATAGCCGGGCGCCGGCCCACTTGGGTCTGTGGGGCGTATGTCACGCCTATGTTGGCCTTGGTGGGGCGTAGATTGAGCAAAGTTAAGCTATCTGGCGCGCATCTTGGCCCTAGGTCGGGCCAAGTTGGGCCCATGTGGTCTATGTTGGGCACATCTTGGGCCCATGTTGGGCCTATGTTCGCCTATGTTAGGCCTATGTTGGCCTAGGTTGGGCCTATGTTGGGCCTATGTTGGCGTGTGCTGGTCCCATGTTGGCCTATGTTGGCCCTATGTTGAGCCATCTTGGAGGCTATGTTGGGCATATGTTGGGGATATGATGGCTATCTTAGGCCTATCTTGGGGATATGTTAGGCAATTGATGCTGAAAATATCTTCCGAGACAATTTTTTACGATTTTCTCCTTCCCGCAAAGCAAAAACCCTGAAAAAAAAACCACGTTTTTTGACATCGCCAAGCTGAAATTCTCGGCCGCCGAGGGCCCCAAAACCCTGTAAAACACAGTATTTTTTATACCTCACACACACACACGAAACACTGTAAATTACGTTAATATCAGTGAACCGGTGGTCCCCCCGTTTTGGTGACGAGGGTCGGCGGCAGGGGGGGGCGAGCGTCTATAATCTTCGGTTACCACCGAAGGCCCTCCGGGCAGGGCACGGGCTTCGTGGCCGGCGCCCGGATTTTTGTTGGAGGACTTTAGCTCCTGGTGACAAGTTGTGGCCTTGGACGGACCAATCTTTTTGGACGCGCTTCAGACTCATGCTCCCCACATAGAAAATTGACTCCATGAAAGCTTTAGATCCGTACCATGCTGCAAATCTGGCACCTCATGTTCTGCACGCCACACAGGAGGTCGTTGTTTCCTCCCGCCAGGCTCACCATCCGGAGTAGTCGGTCATTGGAGAGATGACCCAACACGACATGTAGATGTGCCCTAAGTGGCTCTAGTCCTTCGCGGCAACATCCTGGCATCACCCTCAAAGACCACGTAGTCATAGCGTTCGCCTTCGGCGCCCATCTGCTTCATCTGGCGCTTCAATACCTTCTCTGGCGAGAACATTCCCTCCTCGACCTCAATGGGGTAGATCTCCCATCCACCTCGTTCTGGGGAAGGGCTTCGGTCCCCAGGCAATGGATCATCTTCCACTCGCAATGGTCGCCCTGCCAAGAAAATCTGGGCGGCCTTGAGAATGTAATTGGCAAAGGACCGGGTCCAACGTCTCCCACTTACGGCCCCAGATTTGCTCGTGCTCGAGAGGGCAGTGGCTGCATCGCCTGACTCCGGCCAATCCCACCGCAAGGGCTTGATCGTTCACATCCAGATTGGTGGCCTTCCGATAGAGTCGTTGAGATGTGGGATCCTTGAGGCCGAACATGCACTGGTCGACGGTCACCCTGTAGAGCGAGTCTCGGTGCTCATATATTCAGTTTCCAGCGCTTCGGAACCTTCAGGTTGTTCGGTAAGGCATAGTCGACCGCCCCACGTCTGGACGTCCCAAATCTCCCGGGCCATTTGCCAGAAAGGGATGCGCTCCTTACGCGTGTCATCCAACGCGTCCCAAGCACGGCAAGTGCATTGCCATACACACCATGGCCCACATGGCGGGGTGATGACTACCAAATCCGGCTTCATCATGGACCATAGACTTCACCTTATCCCTGTTGGCCGTCTTGGACATGTCACCATCATCATTGAGGATTACGTCCACGGGCTGATAAGCTCCCCACCCCTTGATCTCCGAGGCCACGACCGTCAGCATGGAGCATCTAGAAAAGATCTCGAACACCATGAATTTGTCCCCCACCTGGTGCCTCTCTTGAATCTTTCCATGAGCCGAATTCCCTGTCGCACCCCTTTCTTCAGCTTCTGAGTGACCCCACGAACTAGTTTTTCCTTTTCCCAAGCGCCCGGTTGGCGCCGATCGAGGTAGAAGGCGTCCTTGTCCTCCTTATAGTGCCGTCCCATTCAGCCTCGTCCACATAGAGTTCCTCCATGGCGTAGATCTCATCCCGCACGTCACTCCCGACGCCGTCATAGTCCTCACCGTCATACTCCGCCGAGGGGCCGTCCTCCATCTCGACGAGCACGTCGTCATCGTCCATGTTGTGGCTTCCCTCCATTCCAGACTGGCTGCCACCTCCCCATGGACTTGGCTCGGAGCTCACATCAATGGAAGCGCCATTGGGGCGTGCATCCTTTGCCTCAAAGCCCGAAATGTCCCCACCAAAAGGCCACCTCCTTCCCCAGGAGTATCGCTAACCAACATAAATTCTTCTTCCATCGAGATCCGGCCATCGTCCGCTCGACCGCCACCTTCACCCGGACTTGCCACACAAGCTTCTGCCACATGAATGCCACCATCCGGCTTCGGAAACATCCGATCATGTTGAAGGGCACCTCCTCGCTGTAGCTGTGCGACAGGGTGGGGTATTCGGCCAATTGCCCCGTCAGGGCCTTCAACTACTCCCTTTTCTCCCGAGTCTTCTGAGTTCTGGGACGAGCCTTGGCTATCTTGGGTCGCTCCTGCGGTGTCAGCTCGCCCACGGTGATCTATTCCCGGTCGTCCTGGTCGAGGTGCTACACTTCTAGAATTGCCGAAGCCGGTCGGACCTTCGCCTTAGGAGCCTTCTTTGGATTGGATCGCTCCACCTGCAGATAACTCATCATGGAGGCGTTGCTGGATGCCTTCCCCACCGGCCCTCCCTAGGTGCGTTGGTTCTGGCGGTCCCAATCTATCGCCTGACGAAGGTGTTCGGAGTCGAGATGGGGGCACTAACGGGCTCGATGTCCTTCTTCTCCGCATACCCGGCAAAAAGGGTCCGAAGCCATGAGCGTCCCGTGAAGGATTAAGATCGTTGACCTCCGGTAAGCCAAAAAGCTCTCCACGCAGCACAGAGTTTATTCCGCCCAGACTGCAAGCCTCCTGCCTGGCCTGCAACTTGAAGTCTAAAGGAATGTCCGGTCGATCCTCCCCAAATTCTCCAATGTCCATAACATGGTGCCCACTAGACGTCTGTCGTAACCCATAGTTCTTAACCCCCCAACTTCTTCGAAGCCAACACGTGGTACTCACAGTCAAAGTTCACCCCAAGTTGTGTACAGGCATGTCTGCATAAAAGGGGAGGGGCATTCTCCCTTGACCACTAAAAACCCGAGGATCACCGCCTTACCGTCAAAGGTTGCCTCCAATTCGACGCCATATTAGTTTGTCAAGGTGTCCCCATTTCCAAAACGAAAAACCTCTTTCCCCTTAGGTACCTTAAACCACCGGTTATGCTGCTACCAAGTGCGCAGGAGTTAATTCATCCAAGTGGTCCCTATAACTAACTTAAAACAATCAATATCCAAAATCACAGCGATAGCTAATTCCTGCACACATCACAAAACCAAGACTTCGTAGTCACTCGATCCTCCGAAGGCTCCCACCCCACACGGCAGCGTCATGTATACTCCAGCGGACACAAAACATCCGCAATTACCTCATCAATGAATTCTTCTCCAACACCTCGAAGACGCGTTCCTTACCACCCACCTTATTCCCATCGCTATTGTGCAAGTGTTTCACCAATTACGCAGCTCGATCACGAAATTACACCATAATTCGAGGGCCTATAAATTCCTCGGGAATCTGGTTCCCCTCATCATCCAACCAGATTTCAAATGCCCTCCTCCAATCTCGATAGCTCTCACCCGCCTTAATACGAACTGCTAACCTTTCCTCTGCCTAACATAGCAGCCTTGCTTTCATCATCCTGACCCTTCGGTTCGAATACTAGTCCCACGGAGGAGACTTTCCCCGATAATAGGTTCCCATAACGATCAAAACCCGCCGAAGAAATGCAAAAATCCTCTCCGTAATCCATAAGCCGGCACCTTATCCTTAGCCTAAATCGTTCCCGGTACGATATCCCCCAAGTTAATACTGCCCTAATCGATCTCCCAATTTTTAAGGTTCATGCCAATTCCAATTCTCCCTATCCGAATTCCCCCCATTTCACGACCAATTCTCTGCCCACTCGCGGCCATACCAATTCCTTTTCCATGAAGTTCTCGACGAAATCCAGGAATAGCCATTATTTTAATAATCCCAAAGATCATTACCACAATCGCCTCCGAATCGTCCTCGGAAAAAAAACCATTACGCTCCCTATATACTTCGAACGCCCACCTTAAATTTCAAGAGGTCCCCCAAAACCAAAAATACGCTATTACGCCCCCACCGCAACCAACTCGAATACTATCCAATCCCTATACCAATCGAAATTCCGTTGCCATTAAAAAATAACAATGATCGATTTCATTTTTAAATTCCGTAATTACGTATCAACATAAAAAAGAAAAATACTTTCACATTAACATAACATTTTAATCAAATAAATCTATTTAATATATAATATATAAATTAATCATTCAATTAAAAAACCATAAATTTAATAATTCCACATATTTTAAATAACGAATTTTTAATATAAAATAGTATATAATATATCCATAAAATAAATATAATAAAATGTATAAATCATATTAATAAAAATCATTATCTTTAATAATAATTTAAATATTAATATTTAATAAAATATATATAAATTAAATAAATATTCCTATTATTTTCCTACAAAATAATTATTTTTTTATTCTATAAATATAAAAAATATCAATTAATATTCAATTTCTATAAATTAAATAGTTATATTACGTTCATTCCTTTCCTTTCCTCTCCCTTTCCTTCCTCTCCTTCTTTTCTTTCCTTCCTTTCCTTCCTTCCCTTCCTCTCCTTCCTTAAAAAAAAATATAAATCGTAATATAAATAAATATAGTAAATAAGTAAATCATATCTTTATATTTCTTCTCATTTCATAATAAATCCTATACATTTTGAAATTTATCTAGGTTTTATAAATAATAGAAATTATATATTAATATATTTTTCATAATTTCCTTGATTATATATTATCAAATATTTTAGCAATCTCTTACAAAAAAAAATCAATTCGAAAACGAAATTAAATTCAATGTTTTAATATCCCCATTTCCTCTTCGCCATAAACATCATATTTAATTTTATAGAATCCTCAATCCCCCTCACCAAGGGTTGCATCTTATAGGCACTACACTATCTGGACCAAATGTGGTCCCCAAATCCTGTTGTCCCCAAATCAATATTTTAAAAAAATCCCATATGCGAAGCAAAAACTCCTTTTTCGGTTTGGGCCTAAAGGTCCGGTAAAAGGTGCACTTCTCGATTTGCGCTCATGCGAGACTGGTTGACCTCCCAAAAGAATCAGACACCGTGCCTCCAGTCAAGCACCTTTGGCACAAATCATACTGCTTTGCAGTTTGGTAATGGGAACATCCTGCATTAAAGTGAATCACAGTCCCCCTTGCGCTGATCCTATACTGCGTCGTCTGTTTGAGCAGCTTCAGTGCGTACCTTTCAGAGATCTCAAGCTCTTTCAGCGCTTGGTCTCTTTGCAGACGAACTTCCGTGATGCTCCACTTCAGGTCTTCGATCTGGTCTTCTTTCCTCTGCAGTTCGATCTGCATCTTCTCTTCATTCTCCTCGTATGCCCGCATGTAAGTCTGCAGGCCTTCCGTTTCGTAGGCTTGACTGCCCACTTCCTTAAATTCCGGCTTCACTTCTTCAGCCGGCGTCCTGAGCTTTTCCTTCAGGTACTTCATGATGTAGCGCCCCACCTTGCCCAGGAAACCTTCCATGATGTAGCGTCGTAACCATCCTGCAATGCTCAAGGCCCCAAACACTGCGCATACCATGAAGACCATCCAACTCCAATCATATCCTTCTGCTTCTCCTTCTGTGGGTTCTCCTGCGACTTCACCGAGTCTTGACAGGATCATCAACATTCCCACATGCATGTCCTTGACCTTCATGATCTTCTTGGTGGCCTTTCTCATCCTCTCTTTGTACTCCAGGTCCATGAACTCCTGTTGGCCAATCCTTTCACCGAGGCTGTTGATCATCTTCAGCATGAACAGCAGTCCATAGAGTCGGCTCCTCGTCAGGTTCTTCGTCCCAACATCAGCACAGTTGAGCTCAGTGCCGATTGCTGCCACACTGAAGATCTTGTCCTTCTCCTTCTGCTGCACCCATAGTAGGCCGCTGAGCTGTCGGATCGAACCTTCATGTCACAGGGCTCCCCAATCATGGCTGTCCATAGGTGTCGGATCAAGAGTCCATCCGAGCATCCAGCCACAATGGCCACAAACTCAGATTCTCCTGAGGATAGGGCTATTGCCTTTTGTGAGCGCACCCTCGACTCCATCAAGTTCCCGTCGATGAAGATCTGGAACGATGTGGTGCTGCGTCGGTCATTCTTGTTACCTGCATAGTCGGCGTCTGTCACGACTTCTATCAGATGCCGTTCTCTTTCATCCACCTCCTCTTCATCTCTCACATCCATGACCGACTGCCCTCTCTTCCTCAGGCCGATCCTCACTCCGAAGCCCATTGTTCCCTGCAAGTAGGAACATACGTGCCAGGCATTTCTCCACGCCTGTTGTGTGGGTTTGGCCATGCTTCTTGCCAAATTTTGGATGCTGAACTGGGCGTCCGGTCTCTCTCCAGCCAGGTACATCAGCCTTCCAACCACGCTGCGATATTTTGTGATCTCCTCTCCTTCCAGCATCTGACTTTCATCCTTCTTGGCGAAGTTCTGGTCCATGGGTGTCTTTCTGTAGGCAGGCTTTCATACTGTTTGTAAGCGCACCGGATGTCACATCCTTCTGCGCCAGGCCAAAACTCCCTCTTCAGATAGTGGAACTTCTCATTCATGCCAAATGGCCCTTTGACCTCAATGTTCCATCCCTTCTTCTTGTGCATGTACTCCACGAAGTTCTTCAGCATCATCTCATTTCCCACCATGAAGATGTCATCGACATGCACCGTGATGTACATTTCTTTCTTCATCGTCAACAAGGTAGGCTGCATTGGGTCCTGTTCCAACCCGAACTTCTTTGCGGCTGCTACGAAGAGTTGGAACCACTGTGATGCCGCTGTCCTCTGACCCGGTAGGCACTTGATGAGCTTGTAGATGGTCCCATTCAACTCCACAAAAGCTCGCTCCTCTGCTGGCTGATCTGCCATCAGGAATGCATCTTTGATGTCCAGGGTCATTGCTCTAAAGTGCTTGAAGACATTTAGCATCAAGTGGACGAGCATCTTGGGCAGAACCATGATTGACGTAGGGGCAAATGTCTGGTCAAGATCAACACTGCCCTTGAACTGCCTTGCAACTAGGCGTGCTCTCCGAAACCAGCCCCCCTGCTCCAATCGATGTTTCCAAGTGATCACAAACTTGGTGGAGATCGTGTATCCTTGACTCTCATGCACCTCATCCTTACTTGACTCCCGCATTGCTGTCATTTTGAGCATTCTCTCCACTTCATTCTTCTTCGCCTGTTCATCCAGCAGGTTTAGGTGCTCTTCACTGGTGATCGGCGGTTCGTCATCTTCATTTCCTCCATATCCTGCGAACAGCTCCTCGTTCACCTCCTCTGGGATCAGGTCTTGTCCAACCTCCTCGTCACCATGTACTTCAACGGCCTGGATCCCAGCATAGTGAGGAGGGTAGAGCCTTGCCAGGCTGCTTGGGGAACTCGATGCCATAACTTCACCACCTTCTCCTCTTGGTTCAACTGCCATGGCACTTGATGGCAAGCTCATAGCCCTTTCTACTTCTGTCTCCTCTTCTGTCCTCTGCTTCTTTTCCGTGCCTGAGTCAATCGCTTCTGACTCCCTCTTGTCATGGCCTTTTCTCGGCGAATCCGACGTGTCCAGCCTCTTCATTTCTGGCTCCTCTGCTTCTCCTTCAGCAATTCTCTTCCGGGGTGTAGTTGGCAAAGGCGCTGGTGTTTGTGGTGCTGCACTTGTTGTTGGCATTCCAGGCGTCACTGGCTGTGGCTTTAGTCCTGGTGCCGGTGTGACTACACCAGCTGCAACTGCATCCGTGATGGCTTTCATCTCCTCCTCTGTGGCTGTATATACGTCTGCGCCTGTCCGGCGTGCTTCATGAGGATCCCTTGTGGACTGTAGCGCCATGGTAGTCCCTTTGCCACCACAATGTCCGTGGCAATGAAGGCTTCCTCTGCTGCCAATCTCCTGATTGTCCGGGCCTCAAAAGCTCCCTCTGGGCTGAGAACGATGTGGTTGTCGTTCCAACTGTGCTTTCCAACCCAGACTCCTCTCTCGAACAGGTCGCTCACCTTGTACTTCACCAATCTCTTTGCCGCGATAGCCATGCCCTGTAGCCAACTCGTAGGAGGTCTTGTTCACCTTCTCCAGCACTCTGAACCTGTTCAGCAGGAATCCAGCATACCTGAACGACCAGGGATAGATGTGCATATTTCCCATTATACTCAGGCGAGCCCTTGACTCTGCAAAGTTGCGAATGCAGTTGGCCATCCTCCGCACAGTCTGTACTGCTCGTTCAGCTTGTCCATTGGAGGCGTGCTGATTGCTCCCTGTCATCCTGACTTCACACGGCAGGCCCATGATGGCCCTGACCTGTTGAACAGATCTCAACAGCTGCCTCATGGCCCTTTCACCATCTCCTTGGAAGATGCAGCCATCCATCGATGAGTTTTTGAGAGAGAATCGCACCACCTCCTCGGTCACTGTCTTGAGGCTGGCTGTGCCCTTTGATGGCACGGGGACAACGTGCACCGCCTTGGTCTCTGACGATGCCATGACCAAGCAAGTCCCATATTGGTCTGACCTTTCCATGACTTTGTCCACCGGGGCCTCATCCATGCGCTTCTCCTCCCCAGTGTAGGTGTAGAAGAAATCCATCTGGATCACATTCTTTCCTTGGTCAGGCTTGTCGTCCCTCATCTCATGTTTGTCCTCCTTCGCTCTCGTCGCCGCGCAAGCTTGGCACCAAGGAGCATATGGAAGACGAGTCACAAAATGTGTCTCCTGCTCCTTGAGGGATGGGAGTCGTGGTTGGCCAAGCGCTAATGGCTTCCTTTCCTGCTCCTTGAACAGTTTGCTGGCCACCTCCAACTTCATGTTGTTCTCCAAGTTGATCTTGAAGGCAATCAACCTGTCCAGCAATCGCCTTTTGCTTCCACTGTAGGGCAACTGGCGTTCTTTGCACGCTATCTGCAAGTCCTTTACAGACATCTTCTCTGTATAGATGATCTCGTCGAGTTCAACCTCATTTGGCCTCTGTGCCACCACCATCTTTTCGATGTCGTGTGACTCCATCTGAAGCTCCATCTGCTCCTCATCTTCCTTGTCGTCCTCGGACCAATCGGTCCTTCCTTGCGGCTCTCGCCTCTTCTCCTCTGGGAATGGCCTCACTGGCACCTCGGACTCTTGCTCCCAATAGTCCTCCATGATAGAGGGCGCAAAGAAAGTAATCGTCCTTTGTGGTCCTCCTGCGCCAATCTTCCTGAAGGCTGTCTCTCCCAGGTTCGTGAAGTCATCGACATTCTCCAACTGGCTCCACATGCCATCATTCTCCTTCACCAAAGTCATCCTCGACTTCCAGGTGCTTTTCAATTTGTCCTCTGGGATCAGTCAATGACATTGCCACAGGGTCACTGTATGCCACGATGCCGTTTGGAAGCTGATGCCATCCAGGCTGCATTTCCAGGTCCTTCACATACCTGCTCAGACTTCCTCTCAAAGCCATAACTCGGGCTTCTCCTTGTTCCTCCTTCTTCATTGCAGCTACCTCCACCATAGAGATGCGTGCACTGAACTGCAAGGAGTTCCTCTCATCA